GCTGTTTGACATGCATTACACAAGGGATGTTGTATTGTGTAAACACATGTCTTTCCAATGACAGATCCTTCCTGTTTTACCAGTTCTCAGTTGATTTACACTGAATCATAAAGCCAGGTTTGCTTTGCCCTGTATTGCTCTTCAAACTGCAGCTGACAGGATGGCCACAGATGGATTCAACGTCTGTATTAAAACAGATCATCTGGACTTAGACTGGGAATTTATCAATTATTCCTGACTCCTTGCTGATGGTAAATATGAAGCCACAGCCAGCAGCTGGTTAGTTTACCTTAAACGTGATGATGTTTAGCGTGGCTGTGTCCAGAAGCAGCACCATCTAACTTTGGGCATGAAAGTGAAGTTTCTAATGACTATTTCTTTAAGGCCTGTATATTTTTTGTGATATATGACAGTTTTTGCTGTCCGTCCCCTATACATATGTTTTATAATGATTCCGATCCTGTTCTCCTACATAACCATAGAGGAGGCACCACACAATACCAGGATCAGTTTCATTGCATTTGGACTAGGGGATCCCAGCATGCTGCAGGTGGATCAAAAGGAGGTTGCGAAGGAAACAATAGAAGCTGAATTGATGCTGATGGGAAAGTTTTTGTATAGCTAACGCCATTAGCAGGAGTCAAAGGAATGTTGTCAAACCGAGTGAGTGATGGGTGGAGTCCCCCAGACTCAAAGCCCCCACTGCCCCACCCACACACAATGTATTGTGTGCACACACTCAGTCACTGACTGGGCACACGAGTGCAGGACAATAGGCATAGAGGTAGTTTCAGGCAGTATAGGATGTAAATGCAGATGCTTCTTTGAGCCTATCTGGGTCTGATATTTTGTTGGGCAGGTGTAAACTCAGTAATCACGCACAGAGACCCTTGAGAGGAGGTGGTCTCCGTCCAGTCCCAAATGTATTCTGGAGTGGTTTGTTTGTGGTGGGAAACTGACCCAACCTCGATCAGATCCAACTACCAGGTGTACTGCGCAAGTCTGAGCTAAACAGCTCCTGTAGCCAGGTGTGCTTTGCATTCTGGGATGCTGGAGAATGAACCAAGACATAGCAATGTTTCTCTCACAGAACACGGGACCTTCTTCCTTGCTTTTTCGCTCTGGCCCCAGACACATCTGACTAATAAGCAAAGTGATTAGTCTCACGTGGTTTGTAGTGATGCATTTTGGTCCGTTTGGATATTTTTCTGTGTGAAAAGGTATAGAACCAAGAGAAAATGCTATCCATCAACTGATTCGGACCAGAGCAAACAAACTATTGGTATGAAAACACCTTTTGTGTATAGCAGAATATTGTGGATCATCATCATGCTG